AAAAGCAAATATTAATTTTTCACAATTTGTTAAATAAAGAGTTATAGTATTTTCTGCGTTTTAAAACAGTGTTTTAAAATGAATATAATATGTCAATAACAAAGTCGATAATTTTATATTTATAAATTTTGTATGTGTTAAATTTATAATTTAGATGATGTATTAACAGTGTAAATGTAAACTTAATTATATTATTTTTAATAATTATTAACATATAAAGAGAAGTTTATGCTGGAAAATAATATCAAGCTTCTACTTGAGAAATATCGAAAATTACATCAATTCTTAATTATAAGAAAAATCCAATAAGAGACAATAGTCTAGAATATCTCTTCTTGCAATCATAACCGTGCTTGTAGTACGAATGCACACAATTAATCCTTTATCTTTTCAAAAATCAAAACTTCAATGAGATGGTAAAAATGCAAACCGTTGTCCGAGAATCCAGATATTTTTATAACCGATATATCTCAACAATCGCATGATTGTAAATTGATACATATAGTAAAAGAAAAGATGATGAGGGAAGAAAAGTATAATAGTTGAAAATTATTAAATTAAATTTCATAACCTGTTTCTACTGATTGTGTTTACTTATAAGAAAGAGTAATTGAAATTTAAAGAATGGCATTTTGCGTAAAACAAAATTACATTTTGGATTAAAAGAATCTTATAAGAAACGAGGTATAAAAAGCAACTCAAGAGTATACTATATAAATTCGCGTGATATGCAAGGAATTAGTTTTGAGATAAAGCTTACCAGAGAGTAATGGGTTCGATATGATTTTGACACGGTCTGTTGTCAAGTACGACTGAATGTACATTAATTAACGAAAGGAAACGAGAACGGCGGAGAGATGTGTAATGCTATGATTTCAGTTCACTGTGGAAGAACAGGAAAAGGGAAACCCCCATCGTTTTATAGTCGCGATACACGGAAACCCCTTTTCTCGGTTCAGGGAACACCCCCGTTTTTTTTCTATTCCAAACTGCATTATTCAAAAAGAATAATCAGATAATGCGGAAAGTATATACATATAAAAAGCCAAAAGTCGAAAAGGGAAAGCATTTTCATTCGAACTATCAAAAGAAACTCGCGGACAGTAAAAGAAAATTTATGAGGGAAGCAGAGCATGTATTATGAAACTGTTCGGAATTATTCCATTATTTCTCTAGAAAACACAATAGAAATCCGAGGAGTAATTCAATAATTCCAATCGGAAATTATTCTGAATAATTCAATAATACGTAGAAATTCTACTGGTTATTCAACTGGTAGAGAAATTCTGGAGGAGATTAGAAAATACGGAGTTCAAGCTGTCACAAAATTCCAGGAAACACCAAGAAGATAAAACGAATTACAGGAAGCTCGTAACCCTCGCGACGAGCAGAAGATTGAAAAATCGGCGTATTCGATGCGTAACGTATATACATTAACCCTGTACATTATTTATCTACGTTCTCCCTTCGCGGCGACTACCATCATGATGATGATGATGATGATGATGATGATCATCATCATCGTCATCATCATCATCGCCACCATAATTGGCGCCGCTTCAACCCCTCGCGGGTACCGCGATAAAATCGTCACGCTACTCTTAATCAGGAGGGAGGGCGAAAGCCCGCAGGAAGTCGCATGTAAATTCTCATCGAAACGCACGTGGGTACGGTCGATGCTTCGTTGCGTGCACGCACTTGTCGCCCGCGTATTGCAGCCCTCCACCCTTCTCCTTCCCTGTCACCCAAGCCCTCTTTGCTCCGATGATTTTCGAATCTACCACAGTTTTTATGAAGTCGTGACACTCGAGTCCTTGAACGATGAGGGTGTGCGATAGAAAGGATATCTCGTGACCCTTTTTTTTTCCCTAATCTCTCTAGATAATTAGAATGAGTGATATATTAAACGAGAAAAACGAACGTTGCGTTATAAAAAGAACAGACGTAAAATTCTGAGATAAATTTGATTTCAAACGTAATGGAGGGAAGTAATTTGTCTAAAACGTTGCATTTCTTCAAAACTCAAATTCTATTAAAACAAGTTTTTAAAAAACAACCGTATACAAACCGCGTTGTAAAATTCTTTAATATTTGATTAATCTTACCTTCAATTTCTCACTGACTGTAAATGTGTAAATCAAAAATTTTACAACAGCTGCAAAGCTACTTTGTCTGTCGAACGCAGTCATTCGATGACTTGTTTTTAATAGAACTGATATCGTGGATTATGGGTTAGAAAAAAAACATGCAACACACGTGTGATTTCTACAACACGAAAGTTTCAACCGCGAATCTCCGAGTTAAAAAGATTTGCGATATTCGAGGTATTCATAAAAAAAAGTTCCAAAGGAAACGATGTTTACGTAACTATATACGGGGTGTCATTATCGGCGCTTCTCCCATAAACGAGAGAGGCGTGGCGATAGAGCTCCTTGACACCTCGTGTGTGGAATAAACACTCGAAATCTCGTGTGAAGGCCCTTGGCACTGGGTTGCGAAACACGGAGCCAAGTCCAATCCGAGGCTCGAGTGGCGTCTATATCTTCAAGATAACATGAATCCCCCTGTAACTGTATCGAGATAACTCAGCTAGAACGACGGCACGGCGTGCCTCGGTGCAAATGCCTGTTTATTACAGTGAAATTTGGAATTTGAGATTATAAAACAATTGTATTTATCAAGTGTTTATCAAATATGATGAAAATTGTTTTCAAATTCAAGAAATACCAATGTCCATTTCTACCATAGTAGATTACCTTTAATCTCGATTTAATTTATTCTTTATCCGTCTCTAATGCACGTTTTTGCCAAGGTAGTTTAATCTTAATCTCGGTTCAACTATTATAAATTCTTCCGCTTTTTCTAGTTCTAAGAATTAGAAAAAATTAATAGCAGGTTGAGAACCGAAATTAAAGTTAATTTACATTGTTAGAAACACACTTGTAATTGTTAAAACTAAGAAATGGTAAAAAATAAGTTGAATCATAGCTAGAAATTAATTTACATTGGTTGCAACGGGGGTATAACTCTTTAATAGTTTGAGAATAGTAGTTTTGTTTTTATATTATTCCGTTTCTGTCGATATAAATCAACTGTAATCTCGGTTTAACTCGTCTTTTATTAGAAAGTAGGAAAAATATGAAAAGGAAGTTGAGAAACGAGATTAAATTTAATCTACATTGATATAGAAACGGGGATGTAATATAAAATTCATCTTTATCTCACACACATCTCCCTCCCGTAAGTATTGCCGTAAATTTTTCCTTCGGTTGAAAAATTCACCGGGAAAAATCACGAGACACGGCACTGCGACGCACGCACGCACTCAGGCATACAAAGTACAAAAACTCACCCACACACCGGCAGCACCCCGACGTGACTCACGAACACGTCGCATCCACAGGCAGCGCCTCCTTCTTAGGGGGCGCGCGCGGGAGGGACGCGCACAGGTTGCACAATTCTCGTTATCACACCACACAAAGTTGTGCCGATCGACTTAATTACCGGCACGACGCAGCATCAACGTCCATTCCCACCTCTCCCTCCCCCGAAACCCCTTTCAAGGAAAAGGAGGAGCACGGAGGAGCGCCAAACTGCAGACACGTGCTCCGAGACTGAATCCCGACTCTGCGATCGCCCGACGTGCGGGGCTCTCATCTGTTTCTCGCGACGTTAAGAGAACAAGGACGCGCGAGGTAAACGACGTAATAAACGACGACGGCTCGTCGGTCGCGAGGAAAGAAGTCGACTCGCGAACGGAGCAGCACCAAGTACACGCACGCACGGACGCACGCACGCGGCTTCAATGAGCGCAACTGACGACTGCCAGCGAGGGGGAGGATGCCCGGCCGACGGACGTAGGAACAGACGGAAGTAGCCGAAGAGAGCCGAGCTGCTCCGAACAGGCTCAACACTCGGCCTCGACACCCCGGGGCGTATCGGCGCCTATGGGCAGCCCGACCGCGCGACACGTCCGCGGTGGCGGGTGAAGGGAGAGTAATGGGAGGGTAGGGTAGAGTGGCACGCAGGGGGAGGGACGGGGAGGAGAGGAGGAGAGAGGGAGGGGGATTTACGCAACCCTCTCCCGAGCGAAAAATCCACGTCGAGAAGCACGCCGCTCGTCGATGCGCGCCGATAAGCCACGTAGTACCCTCGGCCTCCGTCTCTCTCTCTCTCTTCCTTGAGGGGTGCAGGGAGGGAGGAAGGAAAGGAGAGACCTCTTTCTACATCGCGGTTTCGCTTCGTGGAAAAGAAACTACCTCGAAACTAACCTCTTCCGTTCTGCCCCGCCGATTCGCCGCTGTTAACCCTTCCGACGCAGCCACGTAGGAACGCGCGCGGCGATATATACACACATACGTACGTAAACACAGACACGCGCGCGAGCGCGACCATATACACTCGCGGGGCTGAGTATCAACGCGCGCGCGCGCAAATACACGCACACACATACAAGCGCAAACGGAATCCAACCAAGGTGGAAAAAATGAAGAACCGAGAGATGGGTACAAGGGTCGAACGGTGCAGGAAAGAACGGTGGGAGGGTGCAAAAAGAGAGGCAGAGAATGGCATAGAAGCGGAGAAAGAGAGAGGGCGCGCGCAAAAGAGACGTGTATACGTGTCGCGCGAGGGAGGAAACGAGGAAGAAAGATCCGTCTAGTTGCGACGTTAATATCGATTCGCGAGGGTGGCTCGCGATGGCAACGACCCTCTACCGACGATGTCTCTCGTGATGATGTCCTTCGCGTGTCTCGTTTCGCGAGCGTCCGACTCGCATATTTCTTGGGGGCTTATCGACACCGCCCGGTTTCTGAGCGAGCGCACGGGCGCACCTTCTTCTATTCTCGTGGTCCCTCTTGAATGACGAGAAAGAAAGCAAACGTGACAACACAACACGACACGACACGAATAGCTGAGAGCGCGACGACAAGGAGAAGTCGCTCGTCGAAGGTAGAACGTGTACCGCCTGGTTAGACGCGCAACACACTTCACACACTTACCTTGGCATCCTCGCTGTTGAATCGAGGATGATGACGACACAACACAACGACGACGGACGACGAACAACGAACGACAACGACGACGACGACACGGGGTGAGAAACTGGAGCGAAGAACCGTGACGCGCGCGCGCGCGGGTGTGTGTGCACAACTTGGACCGTGTGCAGCACTAGGACGCCATGTCAGCAAGTCAGAGGCGCGGACGGACTCTCTCGGGGCAAATACGTACACGTATACACGGCGGAGTTCACGCACACCCGCGTAGACGGCCGTGCGCGAGAGCGAGACGGGAAGCGCACGCACACCACGCCGTTGACCAACCCGCGCGAGCCGTGCCGGGGAATTTCTGCTGCGCCACCGAACGGCCGTCACGGAACCTCGCCTACGCCCGCCTGTGCCTAGCCAGCCACGGACGTGTCTTCCACTCGCAGTACCCTTCACCGTCGTCGTGGCCGCACTGCAACACACCGCGACGACGCAGACAGCAGGCGCGACACACACCCGTGTCCAACAAACGAACGAACGAACGAATGTACGACGACGACGACGAGTACGACTCTCCTCGCTCTCGCGCGCCCTCGTTCAACCGTACGAACCACCGCGCCGACGACGGCCGATTCGAGCCGAGCCTGAGCTCCGAAGTCGAGGAGTTGGCCGCGCGCGCTTCGCAACCTCCCGCAAGAGCGCAAACTTCTCTACCACCACCGCCACCTAGAGACGCGACGAAACGAGCCGCGGAGCTCCCCCCCCTACACCCTCTCGCGCTCTCTACCCTGGCCAGCCTGCCCCCCACCCCCGCATCCTACGCAGCATGTCCTTCTCTCTCTCTTCGTTCCGTCTCCGTTTCTCGCGCGCGACGACGCGCCGTTCTCCGTCGCGAATGTGAAACTCCCCTCTATCCCTCCCTTCACCCTCTCCATATATCGCTTCTTCCTCGCGTCAGCCCCCGCAAGGAACGAACGACTCACTCACTCACTCACTCACTCACTCACACTCTCTCTCTCTCGTTTCCTCTCGCATTCTTATTTTGCACATCGTCTCGTCCTCGTTTCACGCTCGCGAGACCTGTGAGCCACGTCTCGCTTCTGTTCTGTCCGTTCTACTTTGGCCCTCACCCTTGATCACCCTCGAAAAAGGGCACTTGCTTTCGCCCCTTTGTTCTCACGCTTTCAGATCCGAAGAGAGAGACGACCGCTCGCCTCGCCCGCCCCCACGATACCCTCGGTCTTCTTTTTTCGAACGCACCCTCCTCTCGTCCCCGCGCGATCTCTAGTTCCATTCTTCGCACAAGTTAACGCTATGCGCATAATCTTCGATGACTCTCAAAGAGAAGAGTGTACGTATATAAAAAGGGTGGAGAAATCGTGCGCGAATTATTAACCATCGTGCGAATAATACATTATCGTTGAAACTCGAGCATACGGGGGGGGGGGGGGGGGGGT